AAAAGACATAATTATTCTGACAATTTTTTTTACCAAATAAAACTTACTCAAGTAAGAATCGAAAAAGCACTTGTGCCTTCAAGTTTAGTAGCTCAGATCACGTATAAGTGTATTTTCTTTCTTTCAGGACAACAGTTTAAATTCGATTTTTTATGAATTTATTTTTTTTTTAAAAAAGTAAGAATTGAAAAAAAAAATCAATTATTATTTATATAAAATATAATTTATTAAATTTTCATTTAAAATTAATGACAAATTAAAATTGAACAAAGGGAGGACTAAGAAAATGAATTACATACAGCAGTATCTCACAACATCTTGCAACAATCTCATATTGGAGGATCCACTCACCTTGCACCATGAAATAACTGATTTATTTGATTTCCAATTTTATATAGCAGGTAGGGTCTTTCGATTGGATTTGTGGAAAAAAAAAGTTGGTTCCTAAATCATTCCCATATTAGAAAAATCTCATCCCACCAAAACGAACATCTAGAAGTGAAATCTTCGATGGCAGAACACGTTAGATCCCATTCTCATTTCAAACCACAACTTTGGCATATTAATCCAATGCGTACATTATGGTACAAGATTCTACTTATTTTTTCCAACTCAACTCTCGGGCATTTAGACGAGTGGGGAACATTAAGTTGCGCACTGCCCAAATAAACCTACGAACATCTAAGGCAACCACGCATTATTGACCTTGGATTCAATCATATAATTCTTTGGTCAAGCCCTTTCCCACCCTCCGGGACCCAAAAATTCTTTGACCCTTTCTTCACAACCACCAGAAAAACACTACATGTTTGGAGTTGCTTTAAAGCTAGAAAATAACTTTTAAAAATTAGAATACATATTCAAAAAACTATATATTTAAATTAACTTAAACCTTTTTTCGACAAATATATTTAAAATTTGAAGGTGGTGTTTTACTTAATATATATGGATGAGATGATATAAAGATATTTTTGAGAGGTAAAACACCTAAATTTACTTTCAAAGTATAATGGTAAAGACAGATCCACTTTTGAACAAAAAATAGAAATAAATTCACTTATAAAGTTTTTAATTTGGATAAATCACTTCAAATTTAATGTGTGACGTCATTTGATATCAATAATCCATTAATTTGACGTCGTCTAATATCAGTAATATGTTATTAGCAATATAATAAATTAACAAAGTACTAATATCACACATTAAATTTTGAATAATTTATTCAAGTCAAATAATTTTTAAATGAATTTATCCTATTTTTTGTTTAAAAGTAAATTCATTTAGATCACTCTACTTTGAAGGTAAATTTACATATTTTGTCATTTTAAGGTTAGTTAGGCTAATGATATCCGAATACTCATATTATTCTTTTTTTTTTTTGTCAAAAGTTTTTTTTTTTTTTTGAACAGATTTTACAAAAGGGGCTGGGTTCGAACCCAGCCCTGAGAAGGGGGGAATGCACCATGAGTGGGGGAATGCACCATGAGTGGCTATTGTCACTTGACCCGAAGGGTTTGGTGCTTTTTGTTTTTTGTCAAAAGTTGAGCCCCACAAAACATTAGAAAGTAATATCTTAGATCACATTCACACCATGCCAAACATATATCAAGCTACTAACAATTCGACAGTTCAATAATACCAGAAGATAATAAGATGCTTAGAAACAAGTTACGGACTTCGACACACGTTTCCGTCCGTTTCGCTGTGATTTAAACAGCGCTGTACGCGTGGGACCTCTGTTATAACAGTGATAAGTACCCTTCAGTTAATATATTACATAATATATTTATTAAAAAATTATTATTATTTTATTTAAAATTAAAAATAAATAAATTAAAAAATATAATCATACATATAAATATAAAAATTAATTAAATTAATTATATTTATATTATATTTTTAATAATTAAACTAAAAATATATAAAATATATATATTAAATTAAATATCTACCAATCATTTTCTTACTAATTAAGTTCTAGTCCAGTTTCGTTTTGTATTTAATCTTATATACAGCAACAATAATGTGCTACCTACAGTTGGTTGCGATTGAATCGATCCTGAAATTTCCTTGAAAGATATCAAAACTAATCTTCTGAAAGGGAAATTGTGTTTGGATTTTGTAAGGCATTCTTATGACCACACATTAAAGTGTTAGGGTCATGAACATTGATATTTTTTTTTTCTTTTTTGTAAATAACTAATTATAATATTTAAAAATATTAATATTTAAATTAATTTTAATTTTTCAAATAATAATAAAACATCAATTATTTTGTTATTTATTTGTTAACAATTACGGTTATCAATTGTTTTTAATAAGTAAATAAAATAAAGTCAATAATTTAAAAGATAATATTTAAAAATTTATAAGGCCATCACATTTTGTTTTATCCCTGTAAGGCTGTAACCATGTCCATGTTTGGAAATACCCAGTATTAAGTGCCGGAGACCGGAGGGTGGTTCCTCGTCGCATGATATTGGATCTAACACCAGACACCGAACAATTTACCATGGAACATCATAATTTAGAGAAGACTGCGACAGACCACGCCATTTATAAATATGTGGCCTAGAGATCAGCTCCAAGATATAGATGTGTTTGGTATCAGATAACTGGATTTTCTATTATTGGTGTCTTGTGGAGATATTTAGCATCTTGATTCAGCTAGTATGCCTCCAAATAATAATTTTCAAGAAATTATTTTCTGTGAACCAGATACAGGGTCCAATTGACAAAACTAATTAATTCATCACAAAAATGAATGAGGCATAATCAACAAAACGGCCTTTTGCAAATTTCTAAATATAATTGAGACAAAAATTTTGGGAGTGAGAATGTCCTTGAGTGGTGATAAAATAAGTGTTGGGGGTACCTTTCATATCCAGACCCTTCCTTGGTAATGTGTGACTAACCTGAGGATGGCAACCACAAGAGCGCTATCTTGCATCGGTCGAATTGTTTGTCTGTTACTGGTTTTTTTTTTTTTTTTTTAATGATTGATATTATATCGATAAGAAATTAGGGGGCAATTATAATGCATTTTTACCCTCTTAAGACTTAAGGGGGCGAGAAATAATATTGGAATAATTATTTTATTTTATTTATTTTATATAATTTAATGTATTATTAAAATACTTTATTTTTTTAATTTATATAAAATTTATAATATTAAATATATTTATTTATTTAATAATGTGTAAAAATTATAAAAAAAATAAAAAAAAAATTATTCTAATCACACGACCCGAGGCACTCTGGTAGTCTACCATTCTTGATCGAATTGTTTTAAGTCAGCGTCCTCAACTTTTACAGACTTTTGGAAAATGCTTTATTAATATTTTATATTTTTTGAAGTTGCAAGAAAAATTAAATATTTTAACATTAAAAATATTAAGACGTTTAATCATATCCATAAAATGAATAAATTCCACTTAAATCTTACTTATTATATAATTAAAATTAAATATTATAATATTTTTAATGTTACGACCTTTTAATTTTCACTTTTTTATTTTTTTAATGGTAAGAGACAAAAAAATACTTCCGTGTATAGTTACAGCACTCCCAAACAAAGACTTGAAAAGCATGCATTCTAATTCGTATAAGTGCTAAAAATCAGTTATTTCGGTAGAATTTATGGAGAAAGCGAAAAAAACCCCATCTCTCTCAAAATAATTCTCATTTTTAAGGGAGATTTATTTTCATTTCTTCCAATGCACCAATTACCATATTCTAATTTAGAATCCAATTAACAATTTGAAGAGGAGAGAAATGCATAATTTATAGAGAAATAACATAGAATAATTAGTCGGCAATGCACCAGAAATGGGAGAACCCTGCCAACGTGAGTGTCACAATACTGCGCACCATGTATGCATGAGAATTTCCTATTTCCTTTACCTAATGACATCTCCACAATTATCTCTGCTTTTGTGCATGCTTAATCCTTCACAAGTTATTTTCGTTCCTTCATTTCCTCACCAAGCTTGGCTGGTATCTGTAAAGCAACACAACAGTAAAACATAAACGATTTCCCTGATTTTAACCCAATGCATTGATCTGGCACAAAATCTACCTTCTAAAGAGAATTTATGCCTTTTCCATCCATGGTCTCCGTAATTTCACTAAAGTTTTCCCAAGATTTATCAACAAAAAGAAAATGAATGTTGCATTACGTGGACAGATGAAAAGTTGAAAATTAATGCAAATTTTGATCAGCATAAAGATTTGCCAGAAGAATGAAAACTTTTACTTCTTTGACTAGTCTAGTTATTCACACATTTTTTATAACAATCTGCCTAAACATCATCTGGAGAACATTAGCTCTAAATTTCAAACTTTGATACGCATTAAAGAAAAAACAACGGAACAATGTAAATCAGACCAACCCTACATATTAATCATCACTTAAGCCAATAACCTGCTGCTTAAGCTCTTCAATTTTAGCAGCCAGCTCATCCCTGTTTTTCTGAATTCAAAAAAAAATATATCAGAGTTCTTCTCAATCCATCCCAATTGAATAGATAGGGAGCAGAACCAAAATGTGTTTAAAATCCCAATAATGCAAGGGAAAGCAGTACCTTGAATAACAGATAGCGAGAGCTGAACCAGATTGTGTAGCCAAGACCCACAACTTCCATTAGCTTGGGAAACTGTATAGACAATAATTGCCAGACAATGAAAATAAATATTATTCCCAATTTAAGGAACCCAGGAGAATTCACAGAGATGTAGAGTGCACTATGACACATACCAATGGAATAGAATCAATAGCACCAACAACAGCTGTTGCTAGCCACAGGACAACCAAAGCACCACTTCCATATAAAAGAACTGGATAAGCATCTTCAGAGTCAAGCTACAATATTAAGAAAGTACTCAACATCATGTATAGTGTGGCAAAAGTAAAAAACATGACATGATGTAGCAAATTGACAAACATTAGAAGTAGTGTCAGAAAGAGAAGATTATATGGATGTCAGTAACAACAAATCATGTGCTAACAGAAAAAGAAAAAAAAAAAGGGTAACAACAAATCATGTTGCTAAGGTAACCGCTCAGGTCCACATGATTGTCAATAAATCATTAAGACTTTATAAAGATTCTCATAAGTATGGTATTCATCACAACAACAAACTCATATTTTAGTTAATTATGCTAAAATAAAATTGTTTAAACAAAATATACCAATAAAAAAGATAGGCTTCAAAAGTAAGCATACACAACTATAATAAAATAATGTTCCTTTGTCAAGGACTAAAAAAGAATAGGAAAATAAAGAAACAAAGACTAAGACCATAGAAAAACAACAAAAGAAGAGAAAATAATGTCCCAGCTACTAAGGAATCTGTGAAAAATCAAAACCCATTAATTCTATAAACATGTAACATTATGTCATAAACAGACATTAGAAACACTGACCAATTCCAAAAGACTAAGGACAAAACACATAAATAATCTGGAAAAATGAAGAAAAAGACATTAGAGCTATCAATGAATTAGAGTCCTCAGGTAACCGCCTAGGTCAACACAATGGTTGAACTTCCATGAAGAATTCAATGAACACTTCCACGGTGAATATGCTCATCTCAGCAACCAAATTTGACATTTAAATCCACCCAAATAATCAACAATAGCAACCCCCACAACACAAACGACATTTTCTTTTCAAAGCAATAAACTTTTCTGTCAATTGATCATGACTCATGAAACACAGAAGCATAGAATACAAACAAATTAGACCCAACCGGCCTCCAGCTGCCATCAATGTCCAATAGGGATAAAAGGCAAACCTTGATGTTCAGCTTGTCCAGAAGCTCACTTATCAGCGTCTGCACATCTGAGAGGGACTCTGATTTAGGCCCTCCATTCAGAAAAAAATCACTATACCCATTCTCCTCCGAAGCATCATCTTCCACTGTAAACTTATTTGTTTCAGTTGATGTTTCTTCGGATGTTCTTGCCCTTGGTAATAAGTTCGTCGAATTAACAACCCCTGAAACGAAAAACAAATTATAAAGCTTTCATATTTCCATTCTTTCAGATGATGAAACCAGAATGATGGCTGACTTAAAATGTTATTGTTCCTTATGCTACAAAATATCGCCTGGTAAACATAGGACTCTATTAAGATAAACAGAGACACGGCAGGAGATCAAAAGAAAAAGAAACTAAATGGAAATAAAATCATGGAAAATGAAGCGAAGGAGAGGTGGGGTTTCGTTACATACGGTGGAAAACGCCGCGGTAGGTGGTGCGAGAAATCGGAGCTTGATTGAAAGATAAAGAGGTTTTGGAGGCAGGAGTGCGGGTAGCCACTAAGACTCTGTATGTTCGGCGGTGGTGGTGGTGGTGGCCGTTGGGGGGTAGATTGAGAACCGCTTGGCTTGCAGAGAGCTCCATTTTCAGGAAGATGGGGACTGAGAGTGAGGGAGTTCTTCTAGTCCTCGATCGCTTGAGTGTGAAATGTTTGGACGGATTTTATAAGGGGGAAGGGTTTCCAGGGTAGCTTCCAAATTTCCCTGTTTCCTTTAACCCGAATTTTGATTTTAAATTCAAACGCCGCCGCTTGGCTGGTTTGTTTTATTTTTATTTATTTATTTTTGTATTTTTTAAAATATAATAAGTTACTCAAGAAGTGTAGCCCTTCCTTTTTATAATACTTTACTTACTAAGAGTTATATGATAACATATATTTTTTTTCAAATTCTTTCGGTTTGGGTTTAGGGATTAGGTAATGCTAAAGTTTCCAATATTTCGTAAAGATATAAATTTATAAATTTATAATTATGATATTTTATTAAATAAGTATAAAGTATTGAATCGAATCTTTAAGTTCAATAATTCATCCTCAAATATTAAGTGTTTAGATTTAGTTGATCGAAAATTTGAGTCCCACTAATAACTTAAAAAAATTCCCTCATTCCTCAAAATTCCCCATGTTTTTTTAATTAATATTTTAAAAGATCAATATGTTGGATTAAAAGTTCTATTTATATAAATTATGCATGTTAATTTTTAAAGTATTCTAGTAACCCTAATCACTTTGTTCATTATATAAAATTTAATATTGTTAAATATATATTAATAAATAAATTTTTTTAATGACAAGATTATAAATATGATATTAATATGAAAATTGATATATAATTTATATAAATAAAAATTTTAATTGAACAATGAATTTCTAACACTTTGTTAATTATATAAAATTTAATATTGTTAAATATATATTAATAAATAAATTTTTTTAATCAAAAGATTGTAAATATGATATTAATATGAAAATTGATATATATGATTTATATAAATAAAACTTTTAATTGAACAATGAATTTTTAAAAATATTAATTAAAATATAAAATTTTACATATGTTACAAAAAAAAAAATAATTAAGAGGTCAAATTATATTACACTAAACTCATCATATATGAATAGTAAAGAAAGCAGCTAAACCAAATAAGTACACTAGAATTTTAATTTCTAGCTTCTATAAGTTGAGACACAAACACGCCCTTGGGGAATTTTGTTTATTTATTTATTTTTACACCATACATGGATTGTTGCAAAAAAAAAAAAAAAAAAAAATGGAACATGGATCATTCTTGTATTCTAGCCAAAACTGCGTATTGTTTTGCTTATAATGACAATCTATAATGTTTTCTTTAAATACGTAACTAGACTGTTTAGAAAGATATTTTTATGGATTAATTTTAAATAACATTATTAGTTATTTTTTTTATCTTGAATTGTAAAATGAAATACAATCCTAACCTATCACATCTGTTTGCTATCCAAGTTAAACTCAAAATCAAATTACCACTTGATATATAACATGTTATCTATTAGATTTCAACAAACAATTATAATTATCAAATATTTTTATCTCTTAAATCAATTAAAACCTATTAAATTTTAAATAATTATTTTTTAAAAAAAATAACTGAATATAAACAAAAATCTAACTTTATCAAGTTTTAAAAGATTTGAAAAGATAAGATTGATTGAATTTGATCATCTAAATAATCGAGGTTTTATCTTTTAAAATAATTAGTTACAAAAAGATGAACTTTAAAAGAATTTTAAAGAAAAAAATAAAATCAAATACTAGGCCGAGAACGGGGCAGGCCTAACTCTACTTAGAGTTTATAGCATTTTAACCCATGTTTTAGTGCAAATGAGCACATTCGATGACATTTGACCCTTTGAGTCAAGTGATTTTTGATTACTTTAAAGTGCATCTCTCTTCTTTTTTAGACATGTTTTTACCCTACCCCATAACACTTTGTTCAAAGAAAAAGAAAAATAAGCACATTCGCCCAATGATTTGTTTTCTAATACACGGTTTAAATTTAATTGATTAACAATTCCACTCTTACTATCTCCTCTATAAAATTCTCTTATTTTTCATATTTCTTCGTGTTAAAAGCGAAACAAGGTTTGAGTTGGGCCTAGCCCAGGTAACAACTTAGGCCTCACCGAATTCGAAAGACATTCTGTGTCCATCCTCTTTTCTAAGACTTATCGTCATTCAAACCCAGACCCACTCGCGCTCTACTTCTGTGACTGTGGTACTCTCCCTAGGATTACCCTCTCCGGTCTCCAATCAAATCATTGAATCCTCTTCAAATACGGAACCGATAAAATTACGAATTCAACCCCACTTTTGCGAGTAATCCGCTATATAATTGAATAATTCTACCCCCGCGATTACGATTCAATCCTCTCAAAGTTACCCACTCCAACATAACCTCCAGTTTCCACCCTCTATAAATTTCAAAAATCGGAAAACCACTGTAACCTCAGGAAACAAAAAAGGGGAAGAAGAATACTCTTCTTTGTGTGACGAGAAAGCCATGGCGATTACGATACCGGAGAATCTAACCAGAGAGCAGTATGTGTACATGGCCAAGTTGGCGGAGCAGGCGGAGCGCTATGAGGAGATGGTCCAGTTCATGGAGAAGTTGGTCGCCAACTGTACTCCGGCCTCCGAGCTCACTGTGGAGGAGCGGAACCTTCTCTCTGTGGCCTATAAGAATGTGATCGGCTCGTTGCGTGCTGCCTGGAGGATTGTTTCCTCAATCGAGCAGAAGGAGGAGGGTCGCAAGAACGAGGAGCATGTCGCGCTTGTTAGAGAGTACAGATCTAAGGTGGAGACTGAGCTCTCCGCTGTGTGCGCTGGTATACTGAGGCTGCTTGACTCCAGTCTGATACCGTCGGCTCCGGCAAGCGAGTCCAAGGTGTTTTACTTGAAGATGAAGGGGGATTATCATCGCTACTTGGCGGAGTTCAAGATTGGGGATGAGAGGAAATCTGCTGCTGAGGAGACGATGCTCGCTTATAAGGCGGCTCAGGTACTCGATTTTAGTTACTATGCTTTATTTGTGTAATTTGGGGTTCTGGTTTAGCCTATAGTTTTGATTATGCAGTCAGGATATAGAGTTTCAGGAAAATTTTCTATAATAATAATAATTATTATTATTATGCTTTCCTGTGAAAGAATTAGACTCAGTATTTCTGTTGTATATCTTAGTGGTTTGTGGTTACTGCATCTTTAAAAAATTTCATAAATCTCCCTGTGTTTGCATTGACGGCTCAGAACAATCACTTTTTTCTTAAAGTATGTTCGGATAGTGAAAGAAACCAAGAAAGTCATTATAAGGTTGAATAGGGATATCTCTAATATCTAAGTAGAAGGTTTTTTATGCTTATGCAATAAATTTAAAATGAAGGAAGGTTGTAAGGATGGGGCTAGGATTGCCTTAATGGAATTGAGAATCTGAGTCATGGTTGAATAGATTAGTCTCTATCTGAACCTTTTTTGCTGGGAGGTTCAACATTTGGAGCTTAGAACCATGATGTAAGCTGGTAGAAGTGTTAAATGTGTGTAAAACAAAGTTTTTGATACTTGAAAACATGAGATTATATCTGATTTCTTGGAATGTTTGCTTGCATAGATGCTGAGATCTATCTTGCATTGAATTTTGCACAGCTTGATGGCATTGCCTTCTATAAATCATAATTACATATTTCCACATTTTTTGGTAACTATTTCTTGTACCATTTATGGTTGTTCTCAAGGATATTTCTTACTTATAAGTCTAATGGCCAGAGATTATGGGTTTTGGAAAATAGAATTTGCTTTGGTATTCTTGTTCTTACTTTTATCAAATAAAGAGACTTCTTTGTAGCTGCTTACTATTTTGTGCTTATTGTTTTGAAGGACGTTGCAGTTGCTGATCTAGCTCCAACACATCCTATAAGGTTGGGACTGGCACTAAATTTCTCAGTGTTTTACTATGAGATCCTCAATTCATCTGAGAAAGCTTGTAGCATGGCAAAACAGGTTTGCTCCATTCTCATTTCTTTTAGTTTTAGATTTTTTTTTTATTGGGTTTTCTATTTGCAGAATGGAATTAGGAAATTATACATCTGGAACCTTTAGAGCCCTTAAATAATTTTATTGAGGTGGAAATAATAAATAATAACCATGTGAAATAATAACCATGTTGGACTGGTGATATTTTAATAAATCTATGTGGTTTCTACGTGATAGTGCATATTTTTATGAGATACAAATTATGTGCAATTCATGAACTATTATTATATCCAAATAGCTTAATCATGCATGTTCATAAATTTTCCAGTTGTTGCAACCAGACTTGTATACATACGTGGTTAACTTATTCTGCATTTCAATCTTTGAAATGAGAATAGCCTGGGTCATGATGATGATGCTGATTATTTTTATTTTAAAGCTATTTGGTTGGTTTTGATTCACCTTGTGCACTTATTGATTGTAAGTCATTAATGCATTCATGGAAGAGCTGTAATGACTGTTGTGAAAATATCCCTATAAGTATGAGCAAACCCTAGAGATAAGTAGGCTATAAAAGGATGTGTAGTTTTTTCACGAAAGTACTAATTACTGTAAGAAATATGAATTTTCTAGACTTCAATCTTCATTTAATTCATTAGGGGCCCAGATGCATGTTCATGTTATGTCATTAGATGACCATATCAGATAAAGTCAGAATACACATGTTAAATTTAGGGCTTTTCAGGAATGCTGGATGATGATCTTGAGTTAGCCTAGGTTTTATGCTGAGATATTAATGTTAGAAATGAATATTGTAGGGCTAATTGTGTTCGAAGGAGGTCAGAGTTTGTGGATAGGTAACTGGATTCTGTGTATGTACTTCAGTTGAGATGCTAAGTTATCTTGGGGCAACTGATCATACTTGGAAATAAAAGGGCAAATAACAAGTATGCTGTGATTTGTAGAATTTGCTTTCCAAGCTTACACCTTACAAGTTAGGGCCCTCAGTTGTTAGTAACAGCATAATCTGATCGGAAAAAGAAAAGGTTTGAAGAAAGGAAACCACAAATTTAATTGGGTTTCACAAATTTAATGGGGTTTCACAAATTTAATGGGGTTGCACAAATTTAATGGAGATGACTGCATACTTGGTGCATTAGTGCGTTATCATAATTTGCACCATAAGTGAACCCATACTTTATTCCAAAAGGAAATGCCTGTGAATATGAGCGTTACAAATTTATTGAATGGCAACTACTTTATTTTATTTTCTATAAAAACACTACAGCATATTTAATTCAGTTAAGAGCTGTATTCTATATTGTTATGCTCCATTTCACATGGTTGTTGGGGGCACATGCAGCCACTAAACAACCTACACTTGAATGACATTTTTGATTTGTTTACACGTTTAATGAATTTTTGAGATAGTCTGGCTGCTGAATCACTGTCTGTTTCACTGGCTTCTAAATTCTTTTCAAATTGATTGTTGAACTGCTCTTCTAAGAACTGGTTTGATGACCATTAGACTTTCTTAAATTATTTAGATCACTGGATTTAGACTATATATAAAGATAGTAAAGAGAAGTGACTCTGAAAATTCATAGAAATGATATATGTTATTTATTTATTTATTTTATTTGGAGAATAATTATTGATAAATGTCAGTCTGATCTACTTAGAATCCTCCTATTCAAATTTTCTTTTTTAGGCCTTTGAGGAAGCCATTGCTGAGCTGGACACTCTGGGTGAGGAATCCTACAAGGACAGCACTCTAATCATGCAACTGCTGAGGGACAACCTCACTCTCTGGACTTCTGATGCACAGGTCTCTAAATCTAAACTTCGAGAGGCATTTCGTTTATAGCAGTGGATAAATTTTCCCGTAGCATCATCCTATAGAAGCAGATAGAAACAGCATTCAAATTTTTAGTCTTAGTTTTTTTATTGTTTAGGCCATCCAACATTTGGATAGTTTGAAAGAACATTTTTGGGGAAAGTGAGTTTGAATGGAATGAATGGAGAAACCTGATATTATTTTTTTATTTGATTACTTAGATTAGAGTTTGCATGCAATTTAACATGAATAATTAAATTCCTTATTTTATTTTCGGCCTTATATATCTGAATTGACCTCAACTGCAACCTTGCTATGGGGTCATTGCAGGAGCAAATGGATGAGGCATAAGCTGTTTGGTTGTTATGCTTCACCAGGAAGGTGGGCTCAGATGATCTGTATTCAGATTTTTCAGAGCAGCTGTGTGCATAAAATGTATTGTTAATGATATTTATGTGTAATCTCTCTTAGTAGGACCTTATGATTTCCAACCAAAAACCTCTCAAACTTGCTTTGATGTCAAGAATATCTATGTTCTTTTCACAATCAGCGGAATTTCCACATATTTGGGACTGTGATGACTGTCTTATCACTCTTGGTCGTCTCTTGCCAAGGAATGTGACATGGGAATAAGACCATGCTGAACAGTGTATTGATATGGGGCTTGAATTTTTTGAATCTGGACTTGAATCACAGGGTACTCAAGATCTTTTATATGCGGTGGAGTTCCATTTTGTTAATGGTAAAAACATAGGAATTTTAAGGGACAGTTTGTCGAGTCAAACTCAGGTCTGAATTAATCCCATAAGAAAAATAAATAAATAGAGCTTCAAATTGACAGAAGATTAAGGTTGTTTTAGATTTGATTATTAAGAATAGTTAATAGAATGGTTAATATTTAATACTTCACGATTTGAAAATAGTTTGTTCAAGGAAGAAAATGTAGCATATAACATAAATGAAATCGCACAAGACCTCTTTGCTTACTTTTGTTATGTAAGTTGCTTGCTTTTTTCTAATTATTAAGATTTTTTAAAATTCCAATGTTTGGAAATGTTTTAAAGTTGTGGAATGTGAATTTTGCTGCTGATAGAACACCATTGCTTGCAAAAGTTGTATCAAGTAGATCTGATTTTTCATCATATTTTAATTTGCTGCTTACTGCCTCAGCAATTTGGGACTGAGGGCTAAGTCGATTGTAGATGTTTTCTAGACAACCTGTATGGCGGGTAATCTACTTGTTCTTTTTCCCTTTTGCAAAGTTGAGAGGGTTGTCCTGCATCTTGAATTCTGGATGTGGGATTAGTTACATAGATCCTCCAATCCACTGATAGCAATCAGCTCCCTATAGCAATTTCATGAGGTTGACGTGATTGGAACCGGGGTCGATGTTTGTGGTAATGCCCCAAATCAAATCTCCAGATGAACTCCCACTGCTAGACATTCCTGAAGATATGTTTAACCGCAACCCCATCATCAGTACTATGTTTGAACCATCCATCTACTGGTTCTTCCCAATTAACCAAGGCATACCTTCTCTGTCCAGCATCATTGTTGTTGTATTTTTTTTTTCTTTTTTCTTACAGTTAGGTATTCTCAAATTAGTTTTTATACATCCTGAAACTATTTTTTCCCTAGACATTTTAAGAATGCACTCTTCATACTCACTTAATGTATTTTAAAAAATTAATTTTTTTGAGATCAAACTAAATACAAAAAAATATTTTACCGTTTGAACTATTCTAAACGGTAAAACAACAAACTCAACTATATATATATATACACATAAAAGCATGATCGTCAACAGATACATTTTTGTTAATTTGAATTGAAATTTCATAATTCTGTTCCCCGCTTGCCTGGTTAAAGACGGGATTTAATTTCAAATTCTTTTATGTTTTGCTTTTTCTAGTACATCTAATAATGGATTATTATATAATAACAGAGATGACATTCTACTTTTTTCTTTATTCAAATTCCTTCTCAGCTCATGATCATCTCAAATTTCAAACTTAAAAACTTATAAAACCCTGTATGAAGAAGCTAGCTACTATTTCAACTTTCTAGCACACTGAAAATATGTATGAAGACATGTAATAAGCTCAATGTTTTGAATGCTTTCAAGGCAGGTGGGTTGGCTTTGCACTCGCTTATGTACATTGGCAGCTGGCTAGCTAGCTAGTTTCCAAAGCAAATGAATATGCTGAAAGATTTGCAATATTTATTTCGTTAGTGGCATGGTAGATGAAAAGGGGGAGACATGTGGAGCCAGTGTAGATCCCAGAGGGAAGCATTCATTTTTATGCATTATATATTACTAACGTTCAGCGTTGTCATGGAATCGCAGAAGCCAAGAGTGATGTTCCTGATGCTTTTGACGACCCCAGAGACAGCAACAAAGAGAGAGTGATATGAAGAATGAAAAGAATAAGGGAAGGGAGAAATTGGGAAGCACTCTCGAGAGCTCGAATCTCAAACACTAAAAGACTAAATGGTCTTTGGACCACACAATGCTTTGCATGTCCAAGAGACAGGTTTATTCTCTTAATCCGTATCACGATATCTTAACAGTGTCATTAAGGCTGATTAATCCAATTTTGTAATCCACACGTGATTTGGGGTTCTGGTGGTAAAGTGCGTTCCTTCTTGTTTGGAATTTTTTGGGAGCTAACCCCATAAAAGAGAATGGTAGAAAGGTGAATTTATATTCAAAGGTACATGAGAGTGGGGAGCATCTTTAAGAGGGGATGGAAGCAAAGAAAAGGGGTTAGAAATTTGTGTTGCTAAAGTCTTGAAAAGGGGATGAGTATGTGCTCTTTTGATTCAACATGGAAGTTTTCTTTCATGAATGTATGGAATGAGCATCCTAAGCTAAACCTGATTTGCCAGTTCATGTTTTATGAACTTAATTTACAATTCTCGATGTTCTTTTCATTGGTAAGATCACAAGAAATGGAAATCGGTACTGAAATTTGCAGTCTTTAAATTCCATGATTATTTTGTTTTAATGATGCCATTGGATGCTACAACTTTAATATCTAGTCTTCCCTTCACCAAGCATTCTTCTTCCTAGACTAAACCTCGAAACATTTCTTGCAAAATGGCTTTGTACTTCTGATTTTAATAGTTATGATAACATGACTGTCTTTTCCTTTATCAAACTCCCAACTCTTAATTCTTTATTTTATATTACAAACGAGACATTTGACTTAAAAATCTCTTCTTTGTTTTTTTTTTTTTCTTTCAAATTAGCAGAAAAAGAAAATCTCAAGTTCTAATTGTTGGTGGTCTCTTATGAAACATCAAAGGAATAGATTGAAACAAGGCTAAAAAAGATTGTTCTTTTTTTTCTTTTTTTTTTTTCCCCAGAGAGTTAGAGTAATATCTAGGATTTATATTTAATTAAATCTATAAGACAGGGCCAGCTTAATTAGATTCCCCATTTTCTTCATTTCTTTCTTTTGTAACTCTGCACAGTGGTCTTACCCTATGTCTGAATGGATTGCACAGTGCCTACGAGTATGACAATGAGAATTATTGAAAGAAGTGGTTAAATCTGGTGGGCATATGCCTAGGTAGCAGAAACATGTGTTCTCCCTGAAATTGAATATGACACACCAACATGTCTTCTCTTTTTCATATATAATTTAACTTCTTTGTTTTATGAGTATGGGGTCTTGCATTTTAGATTTTATCAAATTGTAAATACCAGCTATTGAAAGGAGGGGACTGGCCTCTCATCATCCAGTATGACTAATGACTAGATTGCAAGCACTTTTTTGTTCTTATATATATATATATTGAAAAAGAAAATTTTTATCCAAATTTTTTTTCTTAATATTTGAATTAAGGTTAGCAGCATTGATTTTTGTTGACTATCAACAAAACCAACATCAAATTCTAGTATCAACAACTTAAATAATTTAGTAATAATCTTTTTTCAATAAAAATAAAATATTTTGAGCCAAACCCATGGTATATAGATGGAATAAGTTAAGAAATAAAAAAAAATTGTCTTTCATTGTATAACTCAAGATCCAAATATATATATATATATATATATATATATTCTAGTGAAATTCAGCTGCCTCTTTCCATTGAAATTTGATGGTCTGATTCCTATTCTAGTTCTCCTTACCATTTTGGTGCGCACCTTAGCTGGGATGAAGTCAAGCCATTATGGCACATTTTTACAAGAAAAGGATATGATGGCCAAACTGGAGTTTCAATACTAAGAATTTGAAATTCTTTAAGTTGAAATCTTCACATTTGAATCTTGGGACCGCAATCTTTTGTTTTTAATAAAAAAAATCTTTTGAGACCATAGGAAAGAGATATAAAAGAAAATAATTATCCTCTATTATATAATTTATCATGAATTATTAAATGTAAAATTTTCCTTGACATAGACGGACAAAATTTGGATGGTGGCAAGAGATAAACGTAAGGAGAGGAAGGAAATGGAGCAGGAAGGGAAGGGGTGCCTCAAGGCTAGGGTTGTTAATTTCTCAAATCATTCTAATGAATATTCTCCAACTTTTAAATCAAAATTTAATTCTCTTACCATAGTCGTCGCTCCTTTGGAGCTCTCCCAATAATTTTCCTTAATTCTTATTTTAATAATAGGTATGGGGAAATTCAAATTCAACTCTAGAAAATGGTAAGCATATACTTTTCCGATTAACTAACAAGTTTAAAGGATTTTGGTATGAGGGGAAGGGAGGGGAGGGGATGGGAGGGGAGAGAAGGAAAAATTATTATAATTAATTAAATCATTTTATTAACTCAACAATTTAATCAAATCGATCAAAACAAGACCACCTCTCTTCTGTTGCCCTCCAATCAAATAGATTATAATTAGTGCTTAAATGTATTTATGTAATGTTAGGATGGTCACATAAATTTTTCTAACAAAAAAATTTTAATGATAATATGTAATATCAATAGGTGAATGTGTATCATTGAGTTAGGATCTATTTGTAAAAAACTTTTACATATATCATTTATATAAAATTTTAATTATTTGTCTTTAATTTTAGATTAAAAAATAATAATTTGTTAATGAGTGCATTATTCAGTGTGTTAAATCAGAATATGTGTCAATTAATATCCATGATTTTTATATATCATTAAATAAATATATGTGTATAATATTAAAAATCCTATTAAAGTAAAAACAATCAATTATTAAATAATATGTAATATTATCAAAAAAATCATTGGAAAAATTGTCTTTCCTATCATTTTTCAAAAGAAAATATAGACATCAATAATTTATTAGTTCGAGTAGAATAAGGTCAATTTTTTTTAAATAAAATTTTAAATTTAAATTTTAAAAATAAAAAAATAAATACTAAAAAAGAATTTTTTTTTTTTTTGTTTTAAGTTTGATATAATTTAATTTTAGATTAATCGTGATTTAATGTAACTTCCAAACATTAAGGTGGCATAATAAAGTAAAAAGGAAAGAAAATATGGAGTATGACAAAGTGGCTTCTTTCCAAGATACAATGATGAAAGGGCTGGATTATATTCAAAAAATAGGCTGGAATTACTTGTAGAATTTTGACCAGCAGTAAAAATAAAAATAATGCAAAACACAAGGGGTAGAATTGGGAAAAGAAGTGGACCCACTAAATCACGTTTTTTGTAATGTACCTGCTTTCTCATAAATTAAATATGTAATGTCAATCTGTTAGATGGAAAATCA